GTGTTTTGGCAGACCACGCCGAGTGGCCCTATGCATTTTTCTAAAGTCGGGTTTTATTCGAACTTTTGCTAACGACAAAAACAGTTTATCTGTCGTCTCTGTCTCCGGGAACTGCGCGTCACAAAAATGAACCGAAAGCCACTTCAGCTCAGTCACTATAAGAAATCGGCTCTGTCTAAAGCCTTTAAATGTCTAAATATTCTGGCTAATAAATGTTATCTGATTATGTAATCCATATGAAAACGAGAGGTACAGAGGATGTACTCAAACATGTAGCCTGTAAGCGCTTCCCAATGAGAAAATGACAAGACAAGGGTGAAAATCTCGCTCTAATTAAATGTAGCAGGCTAAATCGCCCTGAATTAAAATGTAAAAACAGATCAAATAATGCATTTGTCGAAATGTTGCGATATTGTTTCATTTAAGTTCATAATTATTCAATACATGTTATTTAATTTAGCAGCATTACCACGAAGCACCGTGGTTCGATATTTATTTGAATAAAAAATAAAAATAAAAAAACTTAATTCACAAATTGCATGCCTGGTTGAAAGGATCCAAAGATCCCTGTAGACTTTAATATTGAGTTGAACATTTTGTTCATGAAAACAAATTAACATGCGTTTTTTCAGATTATATTTAGTTTTGCTTGGAAAAAGCTGGCCCAAACCAGTTTTATTTCATCAATTACTGAAATAATTAAATATTTAGTAATAAGCTTTTATGACAGAAATATCACTAGGCTACATGTAACTTAAATCATTTAATTCCTTCATTATCAACACTGTCTAGAATAGCGATTTAAGTGTGAATTGTGACTTCTCTTTGTGTTAAATCAGCCTCAGACTCCAATAGCCGGTGGGGGGTTGGAGGGACAGTTCAGTGCTGTATCGAGCGCGCAGGACAATAGGCATAGGTGTTAATGTTCCTCTTTCATATGGAGAGCGAGGGAGACTAAATAAACTTGTTAAAAAGAGATTCAGCGCGAGAGAGGCAAAGAAAAACGCATGTTTTAATTTAATTATGTTGCTTTGGACAATTTTCGTTTTGTAGGCCTACTGTTTTAATTGTTTAATATAGCTGTCATTTCTTTGGCAATACAAATTTAAAATGTCGCAAGAATAAGATTAGCCTAGTGTTTCTTATTTTGCATCGCAAAAGAAATAAACTCTAAACCCGATGCAACCCTGTTTTAAATAAAAAAAACTGTCCCGACACTTTATTTAAACCTTGAAATGTTCGAACTTGGTTTCAAACTTAAGTAATTTTAGTGTTCTTTTACATTACACAATAATTTAGCAGACTAAAGACGTGCTTCTTCATTTTCATTTTCTGATGCAATCGGCTGACAATCTTCCTTCATCAGTTTTTGTCGTTTGTGCAGCGGCTGCGGTTCTACAGGAATGTAGCAAATTTATGTTGTAATAATAATTAAACAAAACTCTTGACTTTAAATAAGTAAACAGTTATAAACAGTTAGCTATTTAAGCATCAAGAAGGTTAAACATAAACGCTGTAGGGCAACATCGGTTAACAACATGTATGCTACATTGAGATTCGATCCGAGTCGATTGAAGCTCCTCGAAGCTCGTGTTGTTGCGTTAACCACTGAGCTATCGTCTATACGTCTGTGACTGTTTTTATTGCAATGTTTTACTTTTTCATTATTTATTCAATTTCATTTCAGTAGCCTAATTTCAGTATTGTGATTATGAATTATTTTAACTACGTTTCACTTGTTGAATTCATCTGCTACCAGCTTTCAAACGCTCTGAATCAGTGCGGTGCGGCAGCAGATTACGCATTAGAGAGAATAAACAAACACTTTTCAGAGTCTATGATTGTAGCGCCTCTTGGCGGTAAAAGGCAGCAAATACACCCCACATTTTACCGCCGCGGTGGAACGGCTGATGTGGGCATTGTCATGGCTTGCCTCGACATTTGCGTTTGAATAGCGCGCGTCCTCCGTGGGCGTGTCAGATTAACGCGTAATGAAGTGTAATGAGCTGGGGAAAAAAAATCTGACAGCACTCTCTTTTCATACAGATTACATAAACTGAGAATATTTGTTTTTTATATAAATTACATCATTAAAAAGAAGAGAATTCAAGCTTCATAAAGAAAAACCTCTCGTGCCTGTATGACAAGTATTTGCAGAGTTAGAGTTAATTTTTCGGACGTGTTTCAGAATGGACTGCACTGACAGAGAGAAGGCAAAACTCGCATCATGTTTATTTTTCTTTATTTGACAAAAAGCACAAAACTTTGTTTTTATTGTGAGTATACAGAAAAATAATAGACAATTAACAGGATCGATTGATGTATAACACTTATATGTACGATCAAAATCAACAGAGTATTTTAAGTCTATTTTTCTGCTATGTGAAAAAAAAACGGCAAAACGCGCGGGCGCGTTTCTGGTCCCCAGAGGGTTAAAGAAAAAGATCGTGCTTTTTTGTTAGATGCTCCGCTTGAACCTTCTGGTCTCTTTGGTGACGCAGTCCATGCGGTCGTCGA